CGTTAAAGCAAGACAAGGGTCCACTCGCAAAAGATAGGATGTATAAACCATCGTTTGCTGGTTTTGTGGATGTTGATATGGCTGATGGAAGGATCTCTCTAAGGAGTTTGGTTCGTATCTTTATAAGAATCTTTGATATTTTTGCTTGTTTAATATAATTATTTTATTATGTAACGTGACAGAAACTGGAATCTTAATTGTTACAGATTGATCATTCGGTCGTAGAGAGCTTTGGAGCATTAGGGAAAACGGTGATAACATCAAGAGTGTATCCAGTGAAGGCAGTAAAAGAGAATGCACATTTGTATGTGTTTAACAATGGAACACAGACTGTGACCATAGAGAGTCTCAATGCTTGGAACATGGAACGTCCTTTACAAATGAATGATGGAGCTCTTTAATTTAGCTCTTCTCTCTATAGTTTAGCTATAGCCTCTCTCTCTTTCTCACTTTTTCTTTTATTTTCATCTTCAGTAGTTACTGCTGTGAAATTAGGAAGAACACTTTGGGATTTTCTGTGTGTTATGATCAATTTGGTTGTGCATGTCCATACTTTGTGTATCGACTCTTGTACCTTTCTGTCTTTAATCACTCAATAAATATAATTTTAGACCAAATATCAAAAATATGTCGTTGGTTGTCAATACTTGAAAATGTGTAATTCAACTGACTTAGCTTGATTAAACTCCTTACTTTTGTAAATGGCAGTTTTATAATGTGCTTAAGATATGTATATGTAAAACGGCACAACTACAATCTAAAGAAATGTAGCAGAGATTTGAAATATATTATAAAAAAAAAAACAAAAAATCATCTGATGTTAGATAAAAAAAAATAAAGAAACTTTGTGTTTTTTTTTGCTACGCATGTAAATATCATTAAAATGAAAAATCAGGCATTACAAAGTTGCATAACCTAAGAGATTGAAACCTTGGCAAAAAAGAATAAAAACAAGGGATTCAATAAAGATCTGGGAGAACTCAGGGTAGAATTCATCGCAGTCATAGTGGCATTAGCCTGTGAAAGAGACGCTTTTCTCTTCTTGATGTGATGATGTTCTTGATGTCGCGATCAATATACTTAAAGATTGTTTGCGGGGTGAGCGAATGCATATTGTACAAGACGTTGTTTCGTTGCCTCCATATGTGGTAAACAGAAACTTGGGCAGCAGTTTTTCTGAGAATAGACGGAGCATCCTGAGACTGCAATCTGGTCCATGACAACAACTCTGACCAAGTACAGAAGACAGCATGTCGATGATCAATTCTGGACAGTACCATCAGCCAAATCTCAGCAGAATAATCACATTTAATAAACAGGTGATCCCTTGACTCATAGTGAGCAGAACAGAGGCAACAAGCAGTATTAATATTTAGTCCCCAAGAGGCCAGTCTAGCTCTAGTTGGCAGTCTATCAAGGTGCGTCACCCACATATTGAAGCCAAATTTGGGCACTACCCCTTTGTACCACACATAGTTGACCCAATCTTTCTTGTCCTGCCTTGGTCTTAAAGCCTCCCAAGTCTTAGCAGAGGAATAAAACGTGGCAGTGGTGCCATCGGTTTCCCAGTAGTAGTAGTCTTCCGTGATGATAGTGCTAGGGAGAGGCGCTGTTGTGAGATGAACGTGTAGAGATAGAGCCTCGTCGGAGCGCGGGGCAGGTAGGGACCAACCCGCACCAGAGCACGCAGAAGCGACACAACAGTTGAGAGGGATCCGCAGATCTCTTGGGCCATTAGATCCCAGCAGCTTAATAAGAGGTCCAAGAGGGGTCCAAAAGTCAAACCAGAAGCTAGTCTTGATGCCATTTCCTACTTTGCTTCGTAAGAACCTCTCAGCCAAAGGCTTAGTCTTAATAAAGAATTCCAGATCCATGAGTTTCTGGTTGACTCTTTCAAGGACCAGAAGCTAGAGGAGTTCAAATGGTGATGCCTGTGCCAAGCTGCCCACAAAGAAGGTTTATCAGAGAAGAGGGACCAAACATACCTTAGGCACAAGGCTTTATTCCAGACCGCATATCTCCTAAGTCCCAACCCACCTTCATCTTTTGGCAGACAAACCGAAGCCCAGGAGACCTTTACACCATTGCTCATATCAATGTTACCCTTCCACAAGAACCGACTACAAAGCGATTCAATTTTGTGTTTGTTTTTTTGTTTTCCAAAACAAAAAGAAAAAAGGACTATTTTCCGAAACCGTAAAAGTTTATGATTTTTTTAAAAGAACGTAAATTTAAGATGTAAAAAAGAAATCACTTGACAAAACCAAATCTTTTTAGGAATCAAAACATTCTTCTATAAATACAGATTATAGGGTTTTGACTTCCTCACAAACAAAAAAAAATCTACATCATCACTCAAAATACAATGTCTATGGCAGAGATTTTCGAGAGAGTTGACAAAAACAAAGATGGAAAAATTTCATGGGACGAATTTGCGGAGGCGATTCGCGTTTTTTCTCCCAAAATAACAGCTGAAGAGATTGATAAGATGTTCATAGTTCTTGATGTCGATGGTGACGGTCAAATAGATGCAATGGAGTTTGCTTCGTGTTTGATGGTTAACGGCGGAGGAGGAAAGGATGATGAAGAAGTTGTTATGAAAGAAGCTTTCGATTTGTACGATATCGATGGTGATGGGAAGATTTCGGCAAGTGAGATTCATGTGGTATTGAAGCGACTTGGAGAGAAGCATACAATGGAGGAATGTGTTACGATGGTTCAAGCCGTTGATAAAGACGGTGATGGTTTTGTTAGCTTCGAAGAGTTTAAGGTTATGATGAACTCTAAGAAAGAGTCACTCTGATCTTATTCAAAGTTTTATTAGTCTAATTGTATTTTGGTTTTGTTTTGCTTTTTAGTTTACGAATTCTGTTTTGATGATCACGCTTTTACCAAATATTCAATGCATTATCTTGTTTGAGATTTGTGTTAATCTCTTCTAACAAAAAAGATTCTTTGAGATATGCTTTTGTTAATTTCGATTTATTCAAATTTAAAAAGAAAACATAAGGATGTTAGGTCAACGCTTATAACTCAAATGAATCATTCCTCCTCAAGCTGAAGTGGATTTTGATTAATGGATGTCACTCTTTACGTATCTTTTTTATAAGAATCTTTGATATATTTGCTTGTTTATGTAAATTACACTCTTTTACGCATAATTACATAATTACATAGAGTCTCAATGCTTTGAACAGGGAGCCTTTCTTTGACAGATGAATGATGGAGCTCTTTAAGTTAGTTTTTCTCTGTAAAATTAGCTAATCCTCTTCTTTATCTTTTCAGGAAGAAAAACTTTGACGCTCGTACTTTTCTGTCTTTTGATCACTCAAAAAAGATAATTTCAGACCAAACATCAAGAAACGCTCGTTGTTATACTAATAAATCGTTAATGCGCTTAGGAGAAATGCAGATTTCAGAACTACAATTTGAAGAAACATGGCAGAGATTTTAGAATTGATTGAAAAAAAATCAGATTTACTACATAATAATCGTAAAATCAAAATTCACTGAAACAAGGTTTGTGTCAACACTAGAGAAGTGTCTTTTTCAAGGGGAACACAAACTATAAGATAAAAGAGCTTTTGATGAAAACAGATCACTTGATCTTCTTCTTTGGCCTCAACTGGAAAAGAATCAGAGGAAAATCACACTTAGTAAACTAATCAACCAAAATCTGTGGAATATTTAAAATCCAAAGAGACAGAGACCAAACCTGGTTGCTATGGCCACACTTCTTCTTCCTGCAGTTAACAGCCCTTGGGTGCAGACGAGCATAACACCTAAACCAACAAGGTTAACAAGTCAACATGAGACACAATTTTCACCAAGCATAATGTTATAATGAAAGAACAACTTATAAGGGTAACAACAATTGATATGAGAACTAGATAGATTCAATAAATTTTGCAAACTAAGAGAATCACAAACCACAAAGAAAATGAATAGTAATAGTTCAGCTTCCCCATAAATACAGAACAAGAAAGAAAACTTACTTGCGACAAATCATTTTGTCTTGGTTATACTTACGAGCCAACATCATCAATGAAGGCTCAATGATACCTCCCCTTAGCCTCAGAACAAGATGCAGAGTCGACTCTGTTTTACAGCCAAAACAAGAACTGAATCAACAAAACAATCTCAGCTAAAACTAAATCCATTTCCCAGAGAATCCAAAACATTCAAATTCGAGAAAGAGACCTTTCTGGATGTTGTATTCAGCCAAGGTACGACCATCTTCAAGCTGTTTTCCGGCGAAGATCAACCTCTGCTGGTCCGGAGGAATTCCTAAAACAGAGAAGAGAAAAACGAATCGATTAGAGATAAGTCAAGATACAATCTATTAAAAAAGCAAAAGACAGATTTTTGGAAGTTATACCTTCTTTGTCCTGGATCTTGGCCTTGACATTGTCGATGGTGTCGCTGCTCTCGACCTCGAGAGTGATGGTCTTGCCAGTTAGTGTTTTCACGAAAATCTGCATCTTTGTGTTTCGTCTTCTTCGCCGGAATTCTCAAAACGGCGCTGAGAGTATAAAAAATGAAGCTTTATAGTTTATCCATTTCTTAGGGTTTTGTGTTGATTAATAAAATGGGCCCTCGATTCCAAAGCCCATTAAGTATGCGTTTGATTATCAACAAAACCAATTAAAACACATGTATGATATAAGTATAACTACTCTTCTTGATTGGTGTTCTGTTCCATCACATTTACTCTAGCTCCATGAACTGATCATGGTTCTATCAGGTTTGATTTAGGGGACGACAACACATCATTTTCCCTCTCAACTTTCTGATTAAATCGTGTTGTTATAATCTTAAAATTTCAAGAAATTTAGGTTTGTTTCACTAACAAATGAATTGCCTCGTTAGCTCAGAATTTTTTTTATGCAGGATAGAAAATTTGGAATGAACATTGTAATAACTAAATTTCCGGGTGAGAAGGGCAAAAGACTCGTATCATAGTAGCTAATTATACTAACCAAAGGCAAAAGACTCTCGTATCATAGTTGAAAAATGTTGCTTAAACTTTAAATTAACAAAAAGTATTCAACTCCAAAACTCTTCCACAATCTAACAAACTCCAAAATAAAATTGTTCTGACAAAATGAAACACATGGAGCTAAATAAAAGACATATCCCATAAGGCGGAAAACTCAGAGCCTTCTTCCTCTTCTACCACCCTTTCGGCGGGTACTGTCTGTTGGGATGGGGGTAACGTCCTCTGCAACAACAATTACAATGTTAGAAATCCTCAGGACATATTACAACAGAGCAAATAGCTTAGATAAGATTATGGGTTATGAAGCTTACCAATACGTCCTATTTTCATGCCAGAACGAGCAAGGGCTCTAAGGGCAGACTGAGCTCCAGGACCAGGTGTCTTGGTCTTGTTTCCACCTGTGGCACGAAGCTTCACATGCATGGCAGTGATTCCAAGTTCCTGTGTTTTAGATAGTCATTCAAAAAAGCAGTTAACAACCATGAAACAAAGCTTGTCTCTAATGAATCTGTTAGGTCATATCAAGTACCTTGCATCGCTGAGCAACATCCTGTGCAGCAAGCATAGCTGCATAAGGTGAGGACTCATCCCTGTCAGCTTTCACCTTCATTCCACCTAATCAGATATCAAAAGAGCAGAAGAAAATAATTACTCACTTATAATATGCTTGTTGTGTATTCAAGAATAATAACATTTCCGAGTGATCACTCAAATACTGAAACTACAAAGAGTTGAGAGACTAAAAATACTTCAACGCCAATGACATGAGAAGCAACAACATCAATGTTCTCAATTCAAGTAAGGATCACGAATGGATTATGTTGGAGCCAAATCAAAAGATGCTTACCAGTGATACGGACAAGTGTTTCACGACCAGACAAATCAGTAACATGCTGCAATTGGAGATAAAATGTCAGCTTCCAGTTGAAGAAATGATAAATAGCATCACAATTTAGCCAGAAACTCACAATGAAAGTGTCGTTGAACGAAGCAAAGATGTGGACAACACCGAAAACTTGCTCTCCCTCACCAACACTTGGTCCAAGAGTCACAACATCAACCTTTGGCTCTTTAGTCTTTCTCTTTGACGACTACATACAGAATACACATAAACACTCAATTGCATTAAGCTCCAACAATAATATTAACACATAATACAAAAAAAAAACCAATCTCTCATATCATTTCAAATCACAGGCCTAAACAATAAAAGGGGCATTTTCTCACTAATCCAATATTCCAATCAAACAGCAGATTCAGGATCCAAAACAAAGAAAGATAGATACTTTCTTATCTTCAAATGACGCGAATTAATAATGGAACAACCTAAATCTACATATGTATTCTCAAACCAATCAGAGATAATCAGAGAAAAGATGAAAACTTTACAAGGACGAAGCTTACCATGGTTCAAGGCGATTAAAAGTAACTCAGATTTGGAAGAGGCTCTTGGTTCTTGAGTTCCGCCTACACAGAGTTTAGCAAGAGAGAAACGCTAGGAGAATCAGAAATCGATTTTATATTAGGGTTTATGAGAACTAGTGAGGAACGAAAGAAGCCTTCGTTTAGGGTTTCGAAGTAAACTTGGGCCGAATCTTACTGGGTTCAGCCCATGTTATAACGACATCGTTTCGTGATTTTTGGGTAAAATAAAATATTAAAAATATTTGACAACTGTGGGATTTGAACCCACGCCCTTTCGGACCAGAGCCTAAATCTGGCGCCTTAGACCACTCGGCCAAATTGTCAATTGTTGATAGGGAAGGATCGTGATTATATATATCTTTGGTTATGTTCCTTCCATAGACTTTATTAAGCTTCATGTTCTATTGTTCAAGATCATTGTTTACCAGATGAGAAAGTTAGGACAAGTATGGTACATGAACCATTGTTTATTACAAATTATTGCCTTCTTGGCTAGTAGAACTGCACATGAGTTCTGTTCACGATGTCGGAAATTGAACTTCGTTAATGTAAACATACTACGCCATAACCAAATTGTTTCAATATTGTGTCGTAGACCATGATTTTATATATCAATTCTTTAGTTGTTAGTATTGTTTATTTGTTTTCACTTTTGATCCCAAACTTTAAAACTATTTATTTACCAGTGTGATGATGTCTGAGATAAAGTAGTAGTAAAAAAACTAGGAAGACATCAAACAAAGGAAAAGAGATATTCGAAATTCAATTTAAATTGAAAGAGGGCAAATTGTTTATGTGACTCGAGCAATCTCAACAGCTTTTTTGAGAGCTCCTAAGAGACTTCTCATGATTCTTTCTTCTCCCGGAGGTGCTTTATCTTTCTTCCTCCCATTACGCGTCGCTTGGAACACTAAACCATTCTCTGTTGTTTGGAAAACCAAACAGTCTATGTAAACAGGAACATCGGTCTTGCCTTCATCTTCCATCACTATGAATCCTAACCTCGCTCCTCCACTTATTCTATCCACCTATAACAAAAGAAGTAGCTTCTTTAGCTTCTATAATTACCACTTCTGATACAATGTTTTGAAGATTTTATATGATCACTAACAATTTATATGATCCGTAGCCAAAATTATTGACATAATTTTTGATCAATCGCAAATTACCTTGAGAGGAACAGGAAGAGGTAGATTGGCACCTTGGCAAAGACTGTTGGCCCACTGTTGTAGCAAAAAAAAAAAAAAAAAATCAAGAAAAGATCGCTAGAAGGAGGGGTCGAACCTCCGACCTTGTGGTTAACAGCCACACGCTCTAACCAACTGAGCTATTCCAGCTTTTGCATGTTACAAATTTTACCTGAAAGAGAAGAGTTTCGAATCTCGCGAGATCTGTATTCACGGGAAGCTTCATTGTACCCAGAGAAACTCCATCTTCTCCCTCTGCCTTAAAGCCACCGTTTCCCGGTGAAGCATTTGCTACAATTGCCCTCTTTATATGCCGGCGACTCATTGCGCCATTCGTCGGAAGCAGGCAAGGAATTGAGAGACGGCGAAGGAATATAGCCGGAGATCGGACGGTTACTACTGGAGGTGGAAAGAAGAGAGACGTTGCTGCGAAAGCCATTTTCCTACTCTCGGGTCCTTCACATAGTGATAGCTTTTTAGAGGATATGATGAGTTAAAACATGAAAATCTTGATGACGTGTTCTTTTCTAAGCCGTTGATTGTCACATGTGATGAGAAATTACTTAGGATTATATGATTTGATTAGGAACGAGGCAAAATACAAGAAGAAATAAAATAGTCATTTAAAGGATTTAAATCGTTTTTTTTTATAATCGAAGTAGAGTCAAAACCAGTCTACAATAGTATCAAGGACCAGTACAGAGTTATATAGTTCTTCATGCCATAAAACGTACGTTTTACTAATGCTTCTTCTCCTTAACAAAAACTTCTCTGCCCCAATCAATCGATCACTTTAGTCCTCAGAATCTTCACTTCATGGATTGGCCTGGAAATTGAGAATAGGAAAGAGATTGCTTCAATTACTCGGTTTTTTCAATGGGTGGTCAATTATTGTTGATTTCGAATGAGTAAGTAAACTTTACCTGTCGGTGTTATCAGTTTGGACACTACCGAGCCTCTTGATCACCTCCATACCACGGCACACTCTGCCAAATATTGTGTGCTTTCCTGAAAGTTGCATATAGATGTTAAAGAAGAGCACAGCAGTCAATGATCTCAAAACATTGTAAGATATTAAACGAGTGTATTCAAGAGATGAAATGTGTTTACCATCCAAGGACGGTTGTGGCGCTAAAGTAATAAAGAATTGACTCCCATTTGTATTAGGACCAGCATTTGCCATTGATAAAATTCCAGCTCCTGTGTGCTTCAACTCTTTGGTTATCTCATCCTCAAACTTCGAACTAGGAAAAGGAGCAAGGCAAAAAAAAAACATAAGACAAAAGCTAGATCAATATAAAATATCCTACAAAGTAAAAGCTTTGGTGTTTCAAGCCTCTGAAACACATCAGTGGACACAAAACAAGATTGAAATGGACATTTAATAAAGCAACTTGAGTAGTGTCAATCAACTTGAGACTTGTAAAAACTTGTGCTAGTCGACTATATACATCATGCTCAGAAGTTTTGAATAATGAAAGGTTTTCCCCAATTTCAACATCTCAGTTAGTCTTGAGTAAATATCAAAAGAAAAGTAACTTCACCAAAGCCTAAGAGAGCTACACTTCATCAGAGATTGATTTTATCCCCACCAAAACTAACTTCATCAGAGCTTAGCCATAACTGATCCAAATTCGATTACTAACAAACCCACGGAATCGACAAGTAAGATAAAGGAAAAACGATTATAAGATAAAACATTGAAACGTACCCATAAATGGATTCACCACCTCTTCCAGTTCCTGTAGGATCCCCACCTTGCACAATGAAATCCTGCAACAAATCAACAAAGTCCTTAAAAATTCATCACAGTGATGATCTAAGATTCCAAGTACAACGAAAAGTAGATTAGAAACAAAGAAAACAAACCTTGACGATTCGGTGACCTCTCCGGGATAGTTCAACGAAGTTCCGGCAAGTTCTCGGGGAGTGTTTATAATACATCTGAGTGTTTATAATACATCTGAGCAAAAATTGACACACAAATCAAACCATTGTAAACCCTAAAATCTTCACACGGAGAAGCTCGATTCAAGAAAAATACAAACGGAATGTTGAATTAGAGAATGAAATCTAGATCTCAAGTTCGTTCGTGCAAGCCCTATATGAATGTAATGGCTGGAATTTTTTTGGTTGATTCGACAATGAAAAGGGGAATAATAGCAAGAGTGAGAGAGAAACCTCGACGGTGAAAGGACCCATGGAGGTCTCGAGCGTAACCTCCGGCGGACTTCCTTCAGGTCTCGCCGACATTTTTCAGCGACGAAGAGAAAGAGAAGAAGCAATTCGTCGGGAACCGAAGGAGACTACGATGCGACGCAACTCTCCTACCTTTATCGGGTCGGATCTGATTCTTTATCGGTTTATGGGTCGGCTCGAATTTTATAAATCGCTTGGGCCTTAGTGTAATTGATATTAGAGGTTGAAACTATTAAAAAATTAAGTTCGGCCCAAATTAATATCAATTACACAAACACGAACGTGTGCAAGTGCAACCCACTATATGAATTATCTCAACTAATCAAGTGTGTAACCGTGGACATTTTTCTTTCTTTCTTTTTTTGGTCAAATTGCATTGGACATGTAAGGTTTGATATATATTTTTTTTTGGAAAAATCATTGCTAGCTACACGAACTATACGCCAACACATAACCACACATGCAGACTATTTTAATGTTTCGCTAACTACATGAACTATTGGTATTACATACGGACATCCCTGAACTATCATCGGTTATGTGTGCAACACCATAACCATCATTTCCAAATAATATAAATGTCTTGTTAACTACACGAAGTATTTCATTTTTTTGTCAACTACACGAAATATTTTCATCAATTTTTTTTTAAAACTAATAAGTTAAATAAAACTATATAATATATCAATTTAAATTATAATGCACACATATATCAATGTAAATTATAATTTAATTAAGTGACACTTAAAAATTTAGTTAAATTAATTTCATATAAAATATGTGTGTGCATTAAAAAATAGTTAATTAATTTAACTTAAAATTATAAGGGATACTGCATATGTGTTGGGGTCGGATCTCACACATTTTTGGTAGGATCCACTTGGATCTGTCCACGTCATTATTACATAATAATCCTCTTGGAGTTAAAGATATTTTATTATGAGAATCAAGCTTGACCAGTCGGGAGTTCGATTCGGTTTACTATATTATTTAGTTTTATTTAACTTATAGTGAGGTATAATTTAACTAAGTGACTATTTTAAATTTTTAACAATTTAATATAATAAATATTAAATTAGTTAAATTAATTTAACTTAAAAGTATAATGCATTAAAAGTTATAATATATATATATATATAATTTATAACAGCGTAATATTTACTTTTTAGTTATTTTTTATTTTTTAATTACTTTTAAAAAAAAATTGATGGAAAATACTTGGTGTAGTTGACAAAAAAAAAAAAATACTTCGTGTAGTTAACAAGATATTTATATTATCTGAAAATGATGGTTATGGTGTTGCACACATAACCGATGATAATTCGGGGATGTCCGTATGTAATACCAATAGTTCGTGTAGTTAGCGAGACATTAAAATAGTCTGCATGTGTAGTGATGTGTTGGCGTATAGTTCGTGTAGCTAGCAATAATTTTTCCATTTTTTCTTATAACTTAATTTGAAGATTCGTACCATTAAAGGTTGATTTTTGTCATTTCTTAAACTAAAACTGGATATTTTGCATGAGAATTGTTTTTAGGGCTTTTTAGAAAAGTAAACACTTTTTAAAAAGTAATTTGTAAAGTATGTAGTTTTTTTTAAAATTAGAGAAATAGACACTTTCTTACTTTTTTGTGAGATAGAGCTTTTGTCTAATAGACTAAAAGACAAAATACACATCAAATACTAAAATATCCCTTATTTTGAGAAAGAAGAAAAAGAATATGAGGGACCATTTTTATTTTGTTATTTTATTCTTTATCTATTTGTTTTTTTTTTTGTCTTGAATAATTATTTTTAAAGATATTTTTTTTAATCACCTTGATTTTTATATTTTCATGGCACTATTCTCATACACAAACATTTCAAAAACCGTTTTGTACACTAACACTTGTACACCGATATTTCATAAATCATCAAGTACACCGACTTGTCTCCTACTTATAAATTGAAGTAATAATTGTTCAATATATTTGTACAAACATGGTGATTGTATAAACCAAATATTATATTCAATATGATGGTGTACATGATGGTGTACATAATTAAATTACTTTTGATGGTGTACATAATGATGTAAACCATTATGATGTACGAGATTGGTGGATGAAACGGTGTACACAACTTTTAAATGACAACATACGAGATTGGTAGATAAAATGTACAAAACTTGGTATACACTTATAGAGAATGTATAAACTATTATTTCAATTTACTTGTGTACATCATCTCGTACACTGATGTTTGTACAAAATATGTGAAGGTGTACGATATCGTAGACGGTACAAAAGGTGGTGTATGGTGCGACCCACTATTACATCATTTCATGTACACTATTAATATTGTGTACACCATACTTTACATCATCTTCGTACACCATCGTATTATGTAGTTATACACCATTATAAATTGCCATTTATACACCACCTTATACACTATCATACTTTGTATATCACCTTCTAAAATCAGTATCATACATTACTTCTTATATTTTTGACGTACACTACCGTTTGTACACTACCGTTTGTACACCATCGTTTACATTATTACGTACACCGTCGGATTAAGATCAAATAATAAAAAAATGTTACGTATCCGTAAATATAGCAAAATTAGACTTTTTAAATTCACATAAATTTTTTAAAGATTAAGATGTTATTGTGGTAATTTATTTTATAAAGAATTTCTAGCAAAACAAACTAAAAGTATTTAAGTGAAAATAAGAAAGAAAAAGAAAAAAATATTTGACTTTAAGTCAATTTTGTCATTATCTAACAAAACAAGAAAACAATAAAAGGTTATATAAGTCATTTACTAAAATCTCTATTACACAAAAAGTTGTATTAGAGAAGAAAGAGAAAATTGTCTATTTTTCCAATTTCTAAAAAAACTACCTATTTTACAAATTATTTGTTGAAAAAGTGTCTACTTTACATAACTAGATTTGTGACCCCGCGCAATGCGCGGGATTTTACTTATAAACTATTAACAATATAAGCCGTGAATATAAATATATATATTGAATTTTAAAAGATAAATCTATAATGACATAAACCTATTTATGAAATGATATATAACATAGATTTTATTGAGAATAATGTTTCTCTTGAAAAAAACAACAAATTTTTAGGTAACACGTGGTAAAAAATTAGTTGAAAAAATTCAGAGAAATATAATACAATCTCGACCATGTCATGTTCATACATCTTTTTGAATTTAGTCAATTTCTCTTGAAATTATTTCGCTGTCATTTTATTCGTCATATTCTAATATGCAGTCGTCCACCTCGCGACATTTTATCTCTTTTCACGTTCTTTTCGTTAAAATAATTGATTAAATTTTTGATTCATTATAAACTTACATTAAAATTATATTCTCTTTATCTATTTCATTTTTATATTTTATTTTTTCTTGTCTATTATAAAATGTTCTTTTTCCTACATATTAAATTTTATATTTGGATTCTTCCTATTCTCATACATTGCATTTTCCATGAAACATTGCACTCTAACGTTATTGTTTAAAGAAATCTTATATCTAATTGTACTTTTAAATCACAATTCTTTCCTTAAATATATTATACAATTTTATATATATTTTATCTTGATTTTGGATACATACTTTTTTCTTGAAAAATAGATATTCTTATTTCGTGTAATCTAAATTCTATAGTTTACTATCATATAAAATTTTTTTAATCTAAATATTTTATAAATCTTGAAAAGGTTAATGTCTTTCTAGCGTGATAACATATTTTTTTGTTTTCTACTTCTCATATATAAATTATATGTATTTGAAAATTATCTATATGCTTCTAATTTTTATTCATATTTTTATCTTATATATTTTTGTGCTGTGTTTTATTAATTCATTAACTTCTATTTTTGAATTATCTATTTGTATATTAACTTCTATTCACATATTTTTGTGGGAAAAACCGTCATTTTCAACCCCAACTATTTGGGGGCGGGTTTTTCCAACCCAAACTAAGGTCCCCCGTCAATTTCTACCCAAACTCAAAACTAATTCAAATTCAAAACCTAAACTAATGAAAATTAGCCGATTTCAACACGACAGAAGACGGTGTTAGTTCGGGATTTAACGGCTGCTGAGTCAGCGATATCGTGGCATTGACGTGGCGGAAAAACGGCCATTTTCAACCCCAACTATTTGGGGGCGGGTTTTTCCACCCCAAACTATTTGGGGGCGGGAAAAAATAAATCGTCGTCGTTTTCACTGACGTGGCTTCTGGTCAATGAAAACGACGACGTTTTATTTTTTTCCCCTTCAAACAACGAAACGACGTCGTTCTAATTTTGGGGAAAAATTAAAATTAGGGTTCTTCATTTTCTCTCGAAACAGAAAAATGTTCGTCGATTTTATGAATTCACAGGCACTGTAAACGGAATCTGAAAGAAATGTAGCAATAGCAAGAAAAAGCAAAATCTGTTCCTGAATAGTTTGGTCTAGCAATTGTGTCCGTCTAAAGATTTTGTCTTTCTTCCTGCAGTGGAATCATTGTACAGACATTCTATCTGGAAACTTGTCTGAAATCAATTGTGTTTATAGTCTCGTGACCTGAATCATCATCACTATAATTCACAACAATTTCAATCCGCATAACAATTCTTCATGAACTCTAAAGCTATGGTAACACACTGCCATTCATTAAAATTTCAACTCGACACAAATGGAGACAATACCATATTGTTTTAGAAATCATACAACCCCAAGATCCATCACATGGTAAGTAATACACAGTCGGACTATCGAATGATAGATCACCTTCGATGTATAAATAGTTTTTCTCTCACGACCCAACTACAAGATTACATGAATATAGCAGCGGCTTGGGTTTTGAATTTAAATTAGTTTTGAGTTTGGGTAGAAATTGACCGGGGGGGGGGGGGTCTTAGTTTGGGTTGGAAAAACCCAACCCCAAATAGTTGGTGTTGAAAATGCCCGTTTTCCCGCCACGTCAATGCCACGATATCGCTGACTCAGCAGCCATTAAATCCCGAGCTAACACCGTCTTCTGTCGTGTTGAAATCGGCTAATTTTCATTAGTTTAGGTTTTGAATTTGAACTAGTTTTGAGTTTGGGTAGAAATTGACGGAGGGTCTTAGTTTGGATTGGAAAAACCCGCCCCCAAATAGTTGGGGTTGAAAATGGCCGTTTATATTATATTAAACAATGTTATTGTTTATGAAAAAATATTTTCTTTTATTAAAAGATGATAATATAAAAGTATGTGAAATTTTTTTTAATGTTTCTTCGTTTAATAAATAAATTGAGTGGAAGTTTTATAAAGTCATATATATAATTTAAATTTTGATATCAATCAAAACGATTTAAATGGCAATTTGGTTTGAAATGCACCTATTAAATGTATTGGGTAAGGGGTTCGAATCTTTTTGGTAACATTTTATACCTATTAAAAATGTATGATGACGTGTACGCTGATGTGTCGCCTATGTTGACACTCTAAATGGAGTGAAAACTCTCTCATTATATATATAGATTTCTCTTGTTTTTAACCCTTTTTTTTTTGTTAAAGTGTTGTTTTTAACCCTTCATATGCTCTGAACTCTCATGCTTCTTTTCAACTCTTAATATAGCTTGAACATACCATTACTTATGTTTTTAATGTCAGTTTGAAGTATATTGTTTGAAATATACATACTTCAAACTCTCATGCTTCTTTTCAACTCTAAACATATAGCTTGTACGTACCATCATTGACGTTTCTAATGTTCTTCATATTGTCACTTGTCATGTACCAAATCAAAGTTGTATTTGTCCTAATTCACTCATGCATACTTCGTCAATTTAATCTAATATAGATTCTACATCACGCTTACTTAGGAACAACTATGATCTCCATTTATGAAAACTTGACACACACGTAGTAGCTTACAACAATATTGGTACAATTTAAAAACTTCAACAATAGCCGCCTTTTAACGGCTAATTATACGAAGGAATACTCTATTTATTGCCACATATATATATCTTGAAACTATATATAGTAGTCCCTTACTAGATATGACACTTCACTCAATGGCCGTTATGCTCCATAGAGATATTTTTTCAGGGTACATAGCCACCGCTTCCTTCTCCACCAACAGCACCGCCACCGCTTCCTTCTCCACCACCAGCACCGCCACCGTGACCATATCCTGAAGCAGCAGCATAACCTCCACCACCTCCTCCTCCACCTCCGGCACCACCACCACCTCCTCCTCCTCCACCATGTCCTCCAGCTTCTGCACCACCACCATATCCCTCTCCAGCTCCACCTCCTGCTCCGTAACCACCACCATGAGCTCCTCCTTCGCCAGAACCTCCTCCTCCACCACCACCATTTCCACCGCCTCCACCACCTCCATGTCCACCGGCACCTGCACCTCCACCTCCATATCCTCCTCCAGCACCACCACCTTGTCCACCACCGTACCCTCCACCATGTGCACCGCCACCTCCTCCACCGCCGCCTGCTCCGCTTCCTCCACCTCCACCATGCCCACCAGCTTCTCCTCCTCCGTATCCAGCTCCACCACCTTCACCACTTCCACCTCCGTAGCCTCCTCCAGGACCACCACCATCTCCTCCGCCAGCACCACCACCATGTCCACCACCTCCGCCTCCACCAATATGTCCCTCACCATGCCCACCAGCTCCACCACCTTCACCGCTTCCACCTCCGTAACCAGATCCTCCTCCAGGACCGCCGCCGCCGCCTCCTCCAGCACCACCACCATGTCCACCACCTCCACCTCCGCCAATAACACCAGCTCCACCGTAGCCAGCACCGCCACCTTCTCCGCCGCCACCACCAACACCACCACCTATACCAACACCAACACCGACACTTAAACCACTTTTCACGCCATAGGCAGCGACTTCAGCCTCGGATTCAGAGGAGGAGAGAAGTGCTCGTCTTGCAGAACATAACCCTAAACCTATTATGAAACATAGAAAGAAGAGATTTTTGTGACTAGCCATGTTCACTCTTTCTACTTAAGATTTAGTTGTGAGGTGAGTTTGCTTTGAGAATGTGTCCGTATTTATAGGCATTTCATGAGACCCAACCGCGTTTGTTGCACATAGGATGGATGTCCTAAATTTTACACGTTGAGGCCCATACCTAACCTATCAATTTCATTTGATCTTATGTGCTTTTATCTAGGAATGTCATGATTATAGGTAATTCTGTTATATATAACTACGAACACTGTTTTATGTATAGGTTTTAAACTTTTAGGTCACAATACGGTGGAATTAATAACAACAATAAGTTTTTTTTGTGGTTGGTATGCTAGCATTAAATATTTATTTCTTGAGACGTTTTCCAATGAAATGGTAATTTTTTTTTTTAACAAACCATATCGGCTGATCCGGTCAGCTTCGGTAGAAACACACCGAAGTGCTTCAGAGTGGACTTCTCTCCGAAAGTCTACCACACTGTCTGGCTACCCCCTGACATTAGTCGGAAAGCATTCGAAATGGTATTTTTAACTACAAAATATCATTTCGTGTATATATATGATAGTACATTTTTCTTTAACCAAAATGTATTATATGAGATTTATATATACGAGTGTTAACACATCGACGAGCACTAATAGAAATCTCTAGACTAAATTTGTTTTCATATTTATAAAAACAAGTTTTGATCAGCTAAAATCTATAGCTTCGCAAAGTGATTGGCCAGTCTTCGATTTACCCCATTTGGTAATCTTGTTGAGTTAAAGTCTTACGAAGTTTGAATAAGATAACGACCAGTCCACTAGCTAGTTAACAACACTTCCCGTTTATAGACGGTAGACCGATACACTTTTATCCACATATACGGTTAACGGTTTATGAGGTTTACTATACTGTATGTATATCACGTACCAATATATATGCGTGATTGAGAGCATCATTATAGGCAGTGGCGGACCCAAGATTTTTTTTTACATGGGTCAATTACATTATGTTAAAAAATATACTTTGTAAAACATTAACAAATTTGAGGAATCGAACCAGGATTTGGTGGGTCAGAACTAGCACATGTTACCAAATTAGCCACAGATGCATTACAGGCACTCATCAAAGTCTTGAATATATAAATTTAAGGTGTGTCAGCTGACCCACCTTCCTCCAACATGGGTCCGCCAATGATTATAGGTAGTTTCTTAGAGATAGATCTTAGTAATATTTAAATAATTTATTTGTAAAAGTGATTGTTAAGAGATAGTATTTTTGAGTTAAGATTTTTGTGTGATTAATGGTAGGCTTTTAACATGTGGTTCTTAGAAAAAGAAATATTAATATAAAAATAAAATTTATAATTATAGAAAATTTAATAATTGTTGCAAATTAAAAAAATTAAAACATACATGAGAGACAATTTATAACATAAATCACAAATATTTTAAACTTAATTTCTTCTATATTTGTCCATTTATGCTCGACCAAATCATTATTCAATTGTTGATGCATACCTCGATCACGAACTCGAGCTCTATTTTCGAAGAAATTAGAATGCGTATCTGTAGAATATGTGAAATCCGCCCAATCAAAACGTGACATGTGGCACCTCTTAGGTATTTAAGTGATTTAAATTAAATAGTTAATACCTAAGATTCAGCTAACATCCCCCTATAATGATGCTCTTACTATAAAAGATACGAACACTTGTGTGTTAATTTCAGATCAGTAAGTAATGCCACTTGTGTGTGTATGTTTGGTTGTCTCCCATATTGCATAAATGACATATTTAATCAACTAATTATATATACTGTAAATATAATGAATCAGACCTATTCACATATTATCATATTGTTCTTTATGGATATCTGACTCACTCCTATGTCTACACTAACTCTCAGAATTTAAAATCAATTCCTAACAACTTGTGTTTATTAGTGGCTCTCCTCTAATATTTTTACAAGGCAATATATAGGTGTAAACTTTGCATAAACGTAATTAATTACACGAATATATGACCTCCAGTTAGTTGTCTTTTTAGAATGTCTATACATATTTCATTATCAAGAAATTTTGAAAAGATATGATTTTTTATTATAATTAAAAGGCCATGTGAAACCCTCATTATTAGTGTTTTGGGCCTTTTGGCAATGACAATGAAATGTGCCATCCAGCAAATTAGCAACACTGGAGAGATATATTTTCCAATCACAGACCCACTTGTTATTCTCTTTCTGTTAATAAAGTTTATAACTACATTAGAACAAAATAAATAGGTAAGTTTCATCACAAAAATCTTATTTAGGGGATTAATAATAAGAAAATTTATATTTTAACCCTTTTTCGTGAATGTGATATATATTTATTAAGGTCAAATGTATATTATGTCAATTTAGCTTGATTTTATTTATAACAAATTTCATTGCAGATAACAAGCATCTTACATACCATTCACACTAATTCATTATTCTATACTATGAAATTTTAACACATGCTAAATACTGTATAAGACAAAGACAACCGTAATCTAACCTAACGCTAACAATACCGAACCAAAACCGTATCAAAACGACATTGATTAGACTTTGTTTACAATTTTACTAAAATCAAACTAACCGAACCTAACTAAACCGTACCAAAGCCAAAACTAACCTGAATGCCAATTGAAATGTGAGAGGATAGCCTAAAGACTAAAGAGGTGTTTAAACCGAACCATAGCATGCATGGTGTATGCCCGACCCTTCGATTCTAAGTCTTGAGTCTTGACAGGTTTTAGTTGGCCGCAAAGTGTAGTTTTTTACATATGAAAGTGGACCCAACCATTTCACTTTGTTTCACAAGTGGCTCCTTTAATACTTTCCTAAACTTTTGACAAATGGGTTTAGGCTTATGATTGTCATGAAAGATATAGAAGCACACTTCTATAAAGTTTAAGAACTTATCAATATACAAAAAAATAGAGTAAAATGTTAAGGACTAAAACTGCTAATTAATATTCCACATTATGTATATTTTTGACTGATATATTAAAATATAATTTCATCCTAGTAAAAATTTATTTTTAAAAAAATGCATGTTTTCGTTTTGTAATACCCAATTCATGGTAACTTAATGATTGAAAGATTTTACATGTTAGTTGAGGAAGCATACATGTTCGTATGTGAAGTGTTATATATATATTACATGTTTAGTTTACACATTACAGAATTTTAAAATGTTACACAGTTAAGGTGCCGCGGCCTCGCGGACATATCTCTTCCTTCGGAGCCAGCCGTCTTCCAAGAGAAAAACCGTAGGCCCATAGTATTGTGACTTGTGAGTTACATCAAAACACGATGATCACTCGACCCTTTCACAAATTCTTTTCTTCATCCTTGTCCAACATGACCAGTGCACACAATGATCCCACAACCAATTTCATCTTCATCTTCTTCTTCTTCTTCTTTTTAAAAATGTTAAGAACCAATTTCGTCTTCTAAGAAAGGAATTTATTATATTTAACCCTTAATCTGAGCCATTGGAAATCACAGTGTTGGTCAAAACATCTATGATCCTGTATTCCCGTGTTTGATATACATACATGTTTTTTTTTAATATAGGACAGGAGTGTTAACATAGACGTCTTTTTAATTCTTGTTTTCTGTTAATAAAGCATGCGTGGTGTTTTGGCGACTAAGGATTTTGACCTAGAAAACGTTCATTATCAAAACAACTAGCTACAAAAAAAAAAAAAGACATTAATTAATTATTTTAAAAGAAAAGATCTTTCCTCAGAAACACACCCCAACAAAAGAAAGATTAGAGCTCTCTTTCCAGAGACGTTCCTTAACACCAAGCTTGCAGAAAACATAGACATCATGTGACGCCTGAACAATTTGATCATGAGAAAGGCTGCGAGCTCCCCAATTACTCCTACATATCTCCTTATCTTTCCTCACTCCCTCGTGCCCCAAACACTCCTCCACAATCTTCTCAAACAGGGCCGGTCCGGAGGGCAAGCAAGTGAAGCCACCGCTTAGGGTCTCACATTGTTAAACACTTTTTTTGGGAGAATTTTTTTTTTTTTACATTAACAAAAAGGCCCAAATTGTTAATTATGCGTAGGGCATTAAAAAAAATTTAGAAACTTCGGACCGGCCCTGCTCAAACGAACTATTGCGGAGCCACGTAGCCAGATAGTGCCTTATGTCGAGAAGTCTCCATATCTCCAACTGATGGCGGAATCTCTCGAGATTATCCTTGTCTTGACTGTTCCAGACTCCAACGAAAGTGATTGTCTCATCCTCCAAGAAACTTCGAAGGACGTCGGGCATGCGCTTACAGTGAGACAACTGGATGATGAGACAGCGGGTACCAACACATAGTTGGAGAATATCCGGTGGAGGATCGGAACCACCGGGTGTTCATTGGACGTCTAGTCCGACAACGAGAGGGTGTGACGAGCGAAGACGGCTGAAGAAGCGGATGCTATGGATCCATCGGCGGACGTCTAGTCCGACAAAAGCACCTAGCCATTTGATCTTATTTGAAAGAGATACAGAGAATCCTAACGTTCAAGAAAACGTTCTCCAGCGTGATACACTGCCAATAATTATTTGTTAAACCTCATCAGAAGAAGAAGAGATATATACATCAATTTATATAGAAAAAAAAGCTTAACCTAATTTCTTAAAATAAGATAAAGCTAAATGTAAATAACACTTTTTTTTTTGGTAGGCAATGTAAATAACACTTTTAGAGATAGTATTAAATTTTCTAAATTGAAATATTGACAAATTCACAATATTTCCATTATCAAATTTTGAATTTGAAAAAAATAAAAAGATTTTATCAAGATATCTAGGGGAATATTTTGCTGGAATATAGCTTGAGGGGAATATTTTTTTGTATTTTGTATATCTGAAAATCAAAAGTTTGAAGGGGGAATGATTCTGGGCTAGGCTTTTGAAATCAAAAAGCCCAAATTTGCAAATTTTACATTAGTTTTTGTTTGGGCTGGCGCTGTTGGACCATTTTAGGCTTATATCTAACATCTGGCCATTTAGAAAGAGTTACATGGTAATTGATTTTTCAAGTTGAAAAGAAATTTGTATCAAAATCACTAAAAGTTGTGAATTATTATGTATCTAATTTTTTATTTACCAAATTAATGCTATAACAAAGTTCGATTGTACAATTGGCATGGAATAAATTGAACATAAATCACACATTATTAAGCACTACTTTTGCCTACGAACGGATACCAACTTCATTAGTTTACAATTTACTTCTGTTCAATTGTTAGAGTCAAGTGGGGGAAAGTAAGAAGCAACAACTCCTCTCCCCAGACCCTAACAAATCAACTAAACTCAATATCAAACTATTAAAAAAAAGCTCATCGTTAATCAGCTACTAATTATTCCTAATCAAACAATGCTTAATACAAGCACTATATAAACACTAGTCCATCTTCCATTAGTTTCCCACCACAACTACAAAAACATTCTAATACACAAAGAACACACTTTCTCTTTCTTTTAAACCCCAATTGCAAGAGAAAATGGCGAAAGAGTCCACCACCATTGACGTCGGCGAGCCAAGCACTGTCACCAAAAGTTCAAGCCATGTCGTGAAGAAGAAGGGCTTCGTGGCAGCCGCCGCAGGAGGTGGTGCCAAGAGAGGTTTAGCCATATTCGATTTCCTCCTCCGTTTGGCGGCCATAGGAGTCACCATCGGAGCTGCCTCTGTCATGTACACCGCCCAGGAGACTCTTCCCTTCTTTACTCAGTTCCTCCAGTTCCAAGCCGGTTACGATGACCTTCCTGCATTTCAGTACGTCCATTCCTATCTTCGTTACTTATTTACATATGTTTACAAAATTAATGCATATATTATATCTCTAACTACGATGGTGAACCATATACTTCTAATTTGTTATAGTTTTCTTGAAATCAAATATTTAAATTCGAGTTAATAGTAAGTCAAGTCATGTTCCTGTTATATCATTGTGCGGTTAGTGACCTAATGAGATAATATAAATCGTTTTTTAAGGTACTTTGTGATAGCCGTAGCCATAGTCGCTAGCTATCTCGTCCTTTCACTTCCATTCTCCATCGTAACTATTGTCCGTCCACTCGCTGTCGCGCCTCGGCTGATCCTCCTCATCTTCGATACTGTAACTTACCTTATACCTATATAATTCATTTCTTTTTCTTAAGTTCATATTACTCACTCTCTATTATGTTATGGTGGTATATATAAAGTTGGTCGTGACGCTCAACACATCAGCAGCAGCAGCCGCAGCATCAATCGTCTACCTTGCACACAACGGCAACCAAAGCACCAACTGGCTCCCTATCTGTCAGCAGTTTGGAGACTTTTGCCAAAACGTGAGCACCGCTGTTGTAGCAGCTTCTATCGCGATTCTCTTCTTCATTGTTCTCATCATCATCTCCGCCATCGCCCTCAAGAGGCACTGATTTCATCTTTTTTAAGTGTCAAGATCGTAATGTACTTGTTGTATATGTTTGTGGCTTTGTGTAACATGACAATTGGTATTATTGTGTGAAAATGTAATTGAAGTTGTTTATGTTTTTTAAAAGAAATTTGACTTTTGGTTTAACTTAAAAGCTTCCGATTCATATAGAGGTTCTCCAAAGACAAAGCACAACAAAAGACACAAAGCCTAAAATCCCAAAAGCTACAGTCAAAATATCAAATACCGATTCTACCCTCATCTTCTTCTCCTTCACCTCTCTCTTCTTCTCCATAAACTCTTCATGTCTTCTCTTCGATTCTACTTCTCGTCTTCTTCCATTTACCCTTTTACCCTCCATGACACTTCTCAAAATGACCAAACTGTCCCTCCCGTTCAAATGCGTTCCCTCCATCTTCTCTACCTTGAGACTCACTTCCCTCACGTGCATCTCCTCCTCTCCGCACGTGACCACCGTGATCACACACTCCACCGTCTCCACCACCGTCGCGAATTGCGCCTCCACTTCTCCGCTTATCCAGTTCCTCTGCACCGACACCGGCCGGTGACTCGATAGATTCGCCGCTCGTTTCCCGATTGGATCAATCACGATCCAGCTCAAAGTCAAATCCTTCTCTAAATCACGACACGTGTCTTCCGTCCTCCGTCTTCTCTTAATCGGCGTCGCCACCGTATCCTTCGTATCCACCAGATCAATCCTCAACGGCGAGCTCTTAAACCACGCCGTCGTAGTCTCCGTCTTAACGACTCTACTGAAAATCAATTTCCCTTTGTAGTGAAGATCCACGGCGGAGATCAATTCGGGAAACGCACGGTCGAGATCAGAAACTGAACCGGCGGTTTCAACCATAGAATAAGCGTCGGAGAAAAAAGAACGAGAACCATCGGAGCAAGAAGGCCACGTGGACCGGCAGATTTTGGACCAGAGGATCTCATTGGAAGCGAGATGGTGAAGATATGAGGAGGCGCAAGAGACGGAGGCTAAGGTTGCGCCGTCGAGACGTGTCAAGATGTGAGACTCTATGATGTCGTGATGGACGGTGGAGATTAAATCTGTTACGGTGGTAGAGGAGGAGGAGGCCATCTCTGTTCACGTTGCTCTGAGTGATTAGTACTAATTGCGAGTGATAATTGATTATTTAGTTAATGATATTTTGGTTAATCAGTGAAGGGTATTTATATAAGAGCGTCAAAGTCTTTTTGTTTGACAAGTTCATCTTTTTTATTTTTATTACAATAATACCACTACCGAAACTGGGGCAAGTTGATATTTTTTTTTAATAACGTCATTTTCTTAGTATAGTATAATAGATAATTGACGCAATTATGTTGGGGTTGAAAAGATTGATGAAATTGATATAGAAGAAAATTTGGACTATTTTTTTGAAAAAGATCTATGTGATACATCATTTATATTAATTGTTTCAAACTTTCAATTGTGTTTTATCATATAGATTTTCGTCGAATTTATAGATTTTTTGGAAACTACACGCACATGATTGAGGAGACTATATATGAAATTTTGAACAAAATTATAGATTTTACGTAAGAAATGTCCACGCGAAGAATACTTAGCAAAATCATCACCCTCACATGCCATTCGATTTTCGGACAACTTGAATATCCCACTAGAAAGAAAAAAATAATATATATATATATATTTATGTATATGTATATTCTATTCAAAATATACTCTTTTTGTCAATTATACATTATTCAAGAATTTGGTATTGATTGTCAAACTACATATATTTACTATACTGTATATTCAAACACACAGGCCTTACATGCTAATTTTAGCTAGACATCGTTTATTTATATACTAATCAAAGTTGTCTAATTTTGTCTAAGTCTAAAGATATCCACACAAGAATTAGCGTTAGTTCTGAAAATAAATTATCAGAAACATAAGAATTCACTAGAAAGAAAATAAAATAAAAAATTTAAACAGTTAATCAGTGAGTCACAGACCTAGCTAGCTATCATTGCATTGGAAAAGGCCCAACAAACATTCGGTATGTCTTTCTACAGAGAAGCTCTGATCTAACGTACTATATAATAAAGTCTTCTGTTTTTGTGTTTCTATTATAATGACCTTTAGGGCTTTAACATTAACGTAATTTACTAGAAATAACAAAAGATTAATACAAGTACCGAATGCTTCTTTTTCCAAATTTCGATTAGATCATAGAAGTACAGACGCAACTAGTGTCAGAATCCTTAATGCAAAAAAAACATAAAATGATCATGAAGATCAGAAACGTACACACATATGCGACGAGGCATTCACAAACAAAGGAGTCATAAATAAAGATACGTAAGAAGGTGGGAAAGGCATGGCCCATGTTATAAATTAAATGTATGATAGTATCATACCATCTCTCTTTTCTTGTTTTTATCACCCGTAATTTCAATTATACTAGCAAGGGTCGGCGATACAGTATTAGTAGCAAAATACAATATGTGACATAGTAAGTATAAGGCCGGTGAACAAAAAAGTAAAATAAATAAGGCTTTGAATGGTCGGAGATTTTAAATAGCTTTTAATTTTAGTTTTTGGGTTTATGGAACATATGTCATATGTTATTATTATTCGATCTCATAAACTGTTAAATCGTATAAAATTATATGACCTTCAATTAAGCGGTTCAAGCATTAGCCATTGGATCGTCCCATGATTAGTACTTAGCCAACTTTTTAACATGGACAATGAGATCACCTTTTTTTATAGTTAAATATAATTTTAAAAGCAACAGGGAATGGACATTAGATTAAGGGTTCCCTTAATTTTAACTTTTTAAATCTTAAGACATCACAGTCGATTAGGTTTATACAGCTTTTGTGTTATAAAAATTTGACTAGTAAGTAATAACCAAAAGGAAAAGGTTGAATGAGAAAAGGAAATGCCAACAAATGATCTGCAGCAGCATGATAAATTATTGAAGATTAATAAATAACGTCGTCTTGGCATTTTCTTAAATACAAACAAAAATTTTAAAAATAATAATGTGTTCAATTAAAAGGATATATAGGAAGATATCATATGGCTAAAAATACTGTTGTCAAATTTGTTTATACTTTATTACTACCATCTATCACTAATCTATCTTAAATTTGTAGTGATATTGTTTCAGCAGTAACAGGTTCGTTGTAGATAACAATCGAGTTTAGGATAACATTGATTTGTAATGAATATAGTATACAACTTTGAACATTGTTAAAAAGTTGACGAAAAAAATCTATATATAATAGTTAAACCATAAAAATATTTATCGAAATGAAAATACTTAGAATTTGATTAATAGTTTAATAGACACTTAATAAACTAAGAAATATTTTTGGTTTCAATTGTGTGATATAAAAAATGAGCCGACGACATTATAGTATGTGTATCCGGTTCCTACTCTCAACCTAATTTTCCCCTTTATAATCTGACAGGCAAAATCCACTGCATATATACAGTTTTATTTTGGATTGTATATAGTATATAGTCAAGCACTGATGTTAGCGAATGTACTACATCTAGAGTTCGTGATACAAAATGAAGATATCATTAAAAAAGAATCTAACTCTTTGTATTGTCGGACATAAAATGTCTTTTCTATGGAAGTTTTATTCAAGATGGTGAAAACTTTTGGGAAGCAAAGAGAGCATCTACTAGGATGCAGGGTGAGCAATTTTGACCTCGGAGCAAGCGTCGTATGTTTATATAGGAGTAGGACTATGATCCATCTTTCGAAAGTTTTTAGAAGAATGATTAATCTGCGGAACAAAGATGAGGTTGTCTCTAGGATATATGACTTGGGAGTTGGGAATGTCGCCCCTAAGTTTCTCCAACGTTCAAGTTAGAATATAATTACGTAATTAATTAGTTATGAACAGGGGTTCTTCCAGTTCCGACACGCTAAACCGGTCAGAAGTGGCTCCTAATCCTATAAAATTTACTTTCTGCAGGTTTAAATCATTCGCCAATGCCACAAGTTTGTGCCTAGAGACTATATTCAAACAGGCCCAAGTTAGGGTCCATGTATCAATTGGATATTATAGTATCACGGAATAAGGTCTGAAAAGTCTCATGCTAATTATATGCTTATGATAATTTCGTAAAGAGAAGGTATATAATAATAGCATTCATCTGTCCATATGGAGCGGGTTACTTTTAAACTATCAAGTCAATTACAAACTTAATTGCAGCATTTGTTTAAGACATCTCATTTGTGTCAGTACTCATACATTATTCTTGCCATAATTCTCTGTATTGGAAAGCAATCTTGTGCTCAATTACTGCTAAGTGCAATGAACTTGCACAGATGATCTCATATCTTTTTCAAAAATATAGTTTTATAGTATTAATCCAGGTGTGTCAGATACCTACTAAATCAAACTTGGATTCTTTGTCTATTGTTAATTATTACATTAATTTCGTAATCACAAGTCTACAAATATCGTACGTTTATATGTACACAAATGTACATCACAGTGCACACATACTTAGACGTAGGTGTACGTAGCGTGGCACGTGGGTATACTAGTCTAGATACTTCTATGATAATGTTTTTTCTTTGTCTTTTTTTTTTTTTTTTCACTGAAAGATTGATATATATTCATAAAACTAGTGACACATACAAACTTCGGATCAAAGACAATCAATCTAGATCAACCACAATGAGTATTACACTAAGCAATACTACTTTCATCCTCAAAAAGCTTTTTTAACCAAAAGGGGAACCCGGTTGCTACGTACGATTGGCGACGATCCTCCATTGTAACACTCTTGGCAATAAGATGAGCACCTAGATTGGTAGCTCTAATCTCTACATGGAGGTTCCAATCCCAAAAATTCCTTAAATCCTCAGACAATAAAAGAGACTGAAACTTATAAGAGGGCCAAGCTGGTGGCCTTAGGACAGCTCCAATAAGATCCAAATCCTCAGAAGCAAAGATGATTTTATCAATTCTGAGACTTTTCATACTCTCAATAGCCCATTGCCAACAA